CAAGCTGGCTGGGGAGCCAAAAAATAATTTACTTTTTATTTTTTAATATTTTTTAATAATTTTAAAAAAGATTTATCAATTTTAAATATTTTTATTATTTTTAAATATACTAATTACTATTTTAATATTTTATAATTATATTTAAGATTTTTTATTTTTATTTTTATTTTTATTTGGCTCGCGAGCCGGATTTGAACCGAGCCATGATATTCTTGGCCCGAATAAAAACGAGCTTAACGAACTGGTTGAAAATGGGCTGGCTCGGAATGAGCTGGTCCGATCTAGTTTGAGTCGGCCAGTTTTACATCACTAGCCTAGATGCCCCTATCTCTCTTCATCTCTCCTATTTCTATGTTCTCTACATTTCTAATCGGAATGTCTATCGGCCTATGTTTTACATGGTCAAACAACCTTAGAATCAGTGTAGCATAGAAAGAATAGAAAAACATCCATATCAGGCAACTGATTCTGAAAGCAGATATACCTTGTTTGTCTCAGCCAGTGTAAGGACAGTAAGCTGTTTTAGCTTAAGAATTTGATCTGGAACCAATTCAGGAAAACGCCCAGCATTGCCTAGAGTTCCAAGAAGTAAGGTTTAAAAAAGGGGCACGGAGAGATATTTGTTTCCACAAAAATCATAAACTACAGGTCAGAAAGCAAGAAATGTAAGTGATGAATAAACAGCATTGATAATTTTACACTTTCCAAGGGAAAAACGAAGTGGATAACTCAAGGTTATGAACATACACTTGTAGTCAGTCCAGGTCCCATGCGCAAATAACCGTAGCACATCCAGGTATACAGAAGTTGTGGTACCATCGAGCTGCAAAACATTGTTAATACCAACTGATATGAACATAAGGAGTCCAGAACTGAATGTCAAGATTACCAACTCCAAGAATTCAGCCGGCAGAAGGAAAAATTACAGCTGATTTATGCAACACCAGATAGTAGCAAACTATAGCATAGCACCATCCAATAGAAAGTAAAATACAATCAATGAGAAACTTCCCAGCTGTGAACGGCAATCATAGGCGGAGAACATCCATTTGGAACGATACATCAAAATAACCTTAATCCCAAGTTTATCCATTTGGAACGATAAACAACAAAATTCCAAGAAAACTAAGGAACCCTAATGAAAAACTGATAAGCAAATCCAATCCTGATCCAGGAGAAACCCCCAAATATTGGCACATCGAACGACAAATCGTAATCCGAAAACTGAAATACAGAAGGAATATATTCCGACAAACCTCAGCAACAGAGGGTACAGCCATAATCTCGGAGAAGGCGAAGAGCGATGGATGCGACGTGGCTTCGAGTAGGATACTTGCAAGAGCTTCCCCCTTGCAAGTAGAAGATCGTCTAACGAACTGATCGATAATCTCCGCCTGCTTCTGTTCTATATCCATCTTACACGCCCCGAGGAACACAAAACCAGGGAATGTTGAAGAGAATCAAAAGGAGGCCCCCGGAAGCGTCCACAAAATTGGCGCTAGGGTTTCGATTTCGAAGAGAAAGAGAAAGAGAGAGAAAGAGAAAGGGAAGACTCAAGTTCACTTTTTTTCCCTTTCCTCTTTTGCCCTTTTAATTTCGGTGGGGAATTTATGATGGGGTCTCATGTCATCAATGGGCCGAGGCCCATTGGCGGACCCTCCGGAGACTTCTCGTCGATGCATAAACGGCGATTCAAAATCTCTGGAGAGGGTGATCGGATAATATGGCGGAGTCTCGCAGCAACAGAGCGGCGGTTCAGGCAACTAACGACGATGCCTCCGCCAGCAAATTGTACGTCATCTTTCTCTTGGATCTTTTGCATCTCTTCGTATTTGCAAATCTAGCACCGCTAAGGTTGCTATGGAATGTGAAGGTCCTGTGTCAAAAAGGGATACATCAAGGACGACTACGTTCAACTTTTTGTTAGAAGGGCTATTAGAAGATCGCCGATAATAAATCGGGGTAAGCGTTTTTGTTGATTGTTCACCGTGTTTGCACGAGCTGACTCTGCTGCTTTGGATTGTTGAGGTTACTTCGCCCGTTGGGCTGCCTTGCGCAAGCTTCTCCTCCAATTTTTGGACAGTGTTGCAACTTCTGATCAAACTCAAACAAAGAAACAGATACTGTCCCTTGGAGCTGGCTTTGACACTATGTATTTTCAGTTGAAGGTCTCCTGCTTCTCTATTCTTTAGTTTTATTTATCTTCTGTTGCTTTCTTTATTCAGTCTCACTGCTAATTCTAAAGGGTCATCGGTTCCTCTTTGATGGAATTCTTCCTATTCCCCTTTATTTCATTTGCAGGATGAGGGAAAAGCACCTCATTTGTACGTGGAACTGGATTTTAAGGAGGTATATAATTCATGAGATTCCTATATAACTGATCCTTAAGCTTTCCCTGTCTTGATACATCAGGATGTTACGCTAAATATGTCTTCGTCGTCTTCTCCTCCTGGACAGGTAACAAGGAAGAAGGCTACTGTCATAGAAAACTCCAGTCAGTTAAGAGACAAAATTGGGGCAAATGCATCCATTTCGATAGGTGAGCCATTTCTGTGTTCCATCAAGTGTGGAATGATCTCTTTGATGATTGGATAGCTAAAGGTTGCCTATCCATGTGGCATGACTTTCCAAAATAACAAATTTCGAGGAAATTTGCAGCTACCTCTAATATCATTCTTCATCATTTACTTTATCATTTTGAATAAGATGCGTATGCCATTCTTCATCGCTGCAACCTATCCTATCGAGTATTGAATTTTTATTATGGATTACTTGCACACAAACTGTTACCGTCTCTAACTCTGCAGAGCAAGGCCACGTGCTCAGCGACCATTACAAGTTACTTCCAGTTGATCTGCGTGATATACCGACATTAAGTGATGTTATATCGTTTGCCAATATGGATCCAAGGTATGCATTACCTGTTTGCCTTAGTGGATAGGCCTTCAGTTATGCCATATGCTCTCAATGCCCCCCAGCTCCACTAATAGATTTGTTGTCATCCAGATTTCAAGCTGATGACTAACCTACATTGTCTCTAATATTGTTATCAGTCTCCCGACATTTATTATTGCAGAATGTGTTTTGATATACCTGGAACCGGATTCAAGCTGTGCCATCGTCAATTGGGCATCAAAAACATTTTCAACATCCGTATTTTTCTTATATGAGCAGGTTCAGTGCCATTTCACCTCTGAATATATTAATATCCTTTTTGGTTGTTCAACTGTGCTTCTAACATGTGAGGTTTGAGGTTTTCTTTTTACAGATTCATCCAGATGATGCTTTTGGACAGCAAATGATTAGAAACTTGGAGGTAAGAATATTCTCTCTAGTTGCAGTTACGTTAATTGCATCTACATTTTCATGATGCAGGCATCATTCTTTTGTATCTTGCTAAATTACATGGAATTATACACGCTTGGTACATTGATACATCAATCTCGTTATGGGGCCTAACTTAAATTTTTCACTTCACATCATCTCTTTTGAATTAAGCCAGATTGTATGGAATGTTGATTTGTGATCTTTGGTTTATTTTAAACTATTATATATGTTCCCAGATATGAACTTGTGCTGTCAAGATCACTTTGGTCAATTTAGATCTGTTAACTCTTTTTTAGTTCCTTTTAGCTTTTACTGTGTTCACATGTTTCAGAGTCGAGGCTGTGCACTCTTGAGCATTTATGCAACACCGACTTTGCTTGCAAAGGAGAAACTGTTTCTTGACAATGGATGGCAGGTACATATTGTAGGTAGCATGTCGTGATAAAGATGATGATGATGATGATGATGATCATAATAATAGTAATAGTAATAGTAACAGTAATAGTAATAGTATGATGATGATGATGATGATGATGATGATGATGATGATGATGATGATGATAATGATAATGATAATATGTGGTGAAAAGGAAAAGGTTGCTGGAGCATTAGACAAAGAAGTGCATGCTGGAATTCAGTCATTTACTATGTAGCGTTGGGTGATCCTTAAGACAGCATTTTGAACTTCAAAACCTTTATGGAGTTTTCAGTGAGAAGTTCTCCTTTTTGTATTCTGACATAATGTGCATGAACATATGACCTGCATTCCGTATTAATGTTATCATTGCTATTATCGGGACCTCTCTGTGTTTGTTCTTTGGTTTTAGAGAGCTGTTGCTTGGGACATGCTAAAAGTGTATGGTAGTTTTGTTGACACTCAAGAGAAACGCAGGTCAGTCCTGCAATTATTTATCTTTTAATATTGTCATATTAGTTCTCATAAAGTCTGTTGGCACAATATCTTTCCACAGAAAATCCTCATTCAGTTTTTGTGATCCCCTTTCATGTTCTCTTGTCTCTTATTTGCATGAATGTTTATTAGAAAACCAATGTTGTTTGTACCCAGTCCGATTGAGCTGGTTATATTATATGTTGTCAGGATAGAGCGGCTGGAGTTGTTTGATGAATTTGAAGAATGGCATATGATGCAGGCAAGTCACGTTCCACCTTAACTCTTAATCAAAATGACGAGAGTATGTCATATGATGGATATGCTTTTTCTTGTGTTTTGGGATTTTAAAATGTGTAATGTGTTCATAACCACCATTAGCCTTTTTATATCTTTTTTTTCCTTGTCCTCTTCGCAGGAACATTACTGCGTAACATATGCTATGAATGATGCGATGGTAAGTTAACACACTAATTTTCATAGATCAGTTCTGGCTTTTGATTAACGAGTAAGATCAAACAGCTGCCTTCTGCTCATTGTCGTGTAGCGCCCTTGCAAGATGTAAATGAACTCCGATAAGTGCATAAACTTGTGAGGAAAACATTCCGCCTTTAATTTTTTTCACCTTGAAAAAAACAGGGGCTGTTTGGGGAATTGGGGTTCCCAATAGAAGCCAAGACTACCTCATCATCACCATCGTATCATCTTGAAGAGTGAAGGAGGGTGGTTACCACCACATGTGATGCAGAGCCAGAGGGGTACCATTTTCATTTGCACTTTCACTTTCATTTTCATTTTCATTTTCGTTTCGTACACCTCGTCGCATCCTTGGTGTCTTATTTAGAAAACAGTGGTCTTTTTTTATACAAGGAAAACAAATCATGCTTCAGAAAGGGCATATAGGATAAGATTATCATAACCAAGTAGTATAAGGATGTCTTTTCACAGTGTATTCCATTTCCTCTCTTTCTCATAGTTCCCTCCATACCCAGTGAATGATTCGGATTCTTAATCTTCTCCCATGGTTCAAGTGTTTTCAATGTATGTTCTGAACTTAATTTTTTGTAATATTCGGTAAAACTCGGCCTCTCCCTAGCAACTGCGTAAATCCATGCAAAGGTCAGACTGCTAATCTTTCCAATTGCCAGAAAAGCAGGACGCGGGACCCGCTATTTGTCACTCGAATGCGCAAAACACGTCCACTGCTTCATATGCTGCTAACAGATTATATTCCGTTTTTCCTCCACCAAAACCATATTTATGGTACTTTTTCGCGTTATTTCTCCTTGTGCTGGTGTAAAGGCTTCGCCCCGGGCCGAAAAAGAAAAAAAAAAGAAAGGAGGAGAAACTGTAATTCGCAATTTTGGACAATAGCACAGCAATACATGTAGTTATAAATTACGAATACACACCACATGCCTACATACTACATATACATGCATGCGTAAACATTCAATTTACTAAACTCTCTAAACAAACCTCCTTAAACCATCTAAATTACTACTTAACTAGCTACCATTCAAAACCTGCCACTGATAACGTATCGCACATTCTCATGTAGGAAAAAAAGAGAACCTCAAGACCGTGACCCGACTCTGTAATGTTTCCTTCAAAGGGAAGGAAACAGAAAAAGCACCCACACGTACCTAAAAGGCTAAAACCTGTAATCTGCTAAGAAGATTGACGAGAAGGCAGGGACACGTAAATAAACAAAGTACACATTAAAGAGGAACTAATATCTTATTGACATGGTCGTAACTGCAAGTATAATAGGGTAAGGAACTGAATGAAGTAGTTGAAAAGTGACTTGAGAAAGAAAACTTTTCTTCAAATAAGGGATTGTTTGGGGTGGAGAAAGAGAGATTTATTGGGATTCGCTTGCAAGCGCATAGAGAGAGAAGAGGGGAGAGAGAGCTTTGGTCTAACTACAAGACCCTTCAATTTCATATTTGGCTTCAAGAAGAGCAGCAGCCGTTCTTCTGGGCAACAGGCTGGCCTCTGATCTGCACTGTTGGCGGTCTTGCGCTGTTCGTCACTGGTTGACTTGCCATCCTGTGTACGCCCACCAAAAAAAACAAAGCTAAAATTATCAGCGATAATAAGCAACACAAACCCAGAATCTCAATTCTGCTTCATTTACGTCTCTGGCCAAAATACTAGATTCCACAGTTTTGCATCTGCGCACATACATCTATGCACATACATGATGTTGATGGTGCATTTTGAATTTAATTGTTGCGGGGTCTACCTCTTCGTCTGTTTCATTTCCTTTCGACAACAGACTAAAATTCTACAGCTTTATCAGATAAAGATGTAGTATAGTCAGACTCCTAAGTGCTAACAACCATCTCCAATAGTATGACCTGTCAAACCCCACTAATCGACTCCGTTACATACACTGACGTCACCCCTGGAAAGACATTACAAAACTGCATTGCCTTTTGGAATAATTCTCTTCTCGGTATCCAGGATTGTTTTTTAAAATAAGTGAAGCACCCTTTAGGGGGCTCATTCTGATTCTGTTCCCAACTTCCCATCATAATTAATCTAGAAAATTTTTCCATCCTCACCAAGGATACCAAAGAATCAAAGTCTTGTCCTTTGAATCAGAGACGTTAAAAATATCAAACATGGCTTCCCCTTTTGTCTTTCTGCTTCCAAGGATAGAATCCAATCACTTCTGGGGGAACCAATCGATGATGTATGAGAATGGTGTAAGACAAATACCTCTCTTTAATAGCAGTAGCCATGGCCATGAAAGCCTGTTCCACGTTGGTGGCATCCTTTGCACTTGTCTCCATAAAAGGAATCCCAATTTCGTCCGCAAGAGCCTGTAATTACATTAATATTACAGCATTTGAAAGAGAACATGTCCTCATTCCCTACAATACAATATCTACACAACTTCAGAAAGAGGATTGGAAAAGAGATAAGGGCTAAAGCACAGACCTTGGCGGTTTCATACGGAACGGCTCTGTTTGCAGTAAGATCACACTTGTTGCCAACTAAGAGTTTGTTCACATTGTCACTGGCATACCGATCAATTTCATTTAACCATTGCTTCACATTTTTGAAGCTCTCTTGATCCGTAACATCATAGACAATCTACCAGTGGGGGCCAGACAAAATTAGTTATAGTAGCTAAAAGAGTCAGCGCAAGTGGTAGAATGAGAAATATTAACCCACTATGATTCCATGTGCCCCGCGGTAGTAACTGCTTGTGATAGTCCTGAACCGCTCTTGACCAGCAGTGTCCCACTGAAAGTCAATAAAGAAGGAGAAATTCTAGTCAGCCTCTACAATAATACTGGATAAACAATTACGACAGAACAGCAGCGTATCAAAGTCTACTGGTATAGAAAACACAGCAGTTTATAAAATTATCACACAAAATGGGCTGAACTTTATTAAAAAAATAAAAAATTAATGCATGATATGCAGAAAATCTCAGCTGAGTTCAACATTAAAGTGCAAAAGAAAGAAATGTTACGTACAATTTGGAGCTTAATAGTCTTCCCATCTTGCTCCACAGTCCGTATTTTCTAGAGAGAAGGGAGATAATCAGATATAAACCCCAGTTTCTTTCACAGCAAAAAAGCAACTGTAAGCACTTACAAAATCGACCCCAATGGTGCTTATGTAACTCTCTATGTATGAATCATCCTGCATCCATAAAAAAGGTGGGGGATTTCAAGTCAGATATTCACCTGCAATCGACCAACCAACCGCATTTTTACAGAAAAAATTCAAATATCCAAATTATATTCCACACGACGGGATCAGAAATCATGAGTACATTCACTGTACAATCCGAACTAAATCACAGCACTGCTTGTTTAATCAGTTATTCCTCCCCAGTTGAAGACCACGACGAATATAAAATAATTGGAGTTCGGACTAAATAAGAAAACAACAAACTTAATTAAAAAAAAAAAAAACAACAAACTCACAGCGAATCTTAGAAGGAGGCAGGATTTTCCAACACCAGAATCTCCGATGAGCAGAAGCTTGAAGAGATAATCGCTGCAAACCGAGGAGTTACTAAGTCGTTAAAATAACAAAGGCCGTAAATGGGAGAGAGCAAGACGAGAAACGCGCGAAATAATAATCAATCATACAAAATAAAACGACGATCTCGAGCAAAAGACGGTATAGCAAACTCAAGACCATCAACTCAAAATAAAAAACAAAATCAGACAGATCGCAGAGACACTACTAAATTGTTCTCCATCCATGAGCAACAGGATCAAATCGACGGATCTAGAAGCCCTATATTTCAAGGCTAGCACACAATACCAATTACCGTAATCGAGTAATCTAGACAGCAGAAACCAAGGGCCGGATCAGAAGAATATATCGATAAATCTTTAGAGAGTGCAAGTGTCGGTGGATGAAACGAAGGAAACTTACTATTCGGGATTCATGAATCCGGCGGCGGAAATGGATTGTATCAGAGGGGAAATAGCCGGATGAGGATGGAATCAACAGTAACAGCGCTGCAGAGGCGAGTTCTCTCCTTCGAAACTGTAAAGGTCGATTGGCGAAGGAAGCGAAAGAGAAGGAAAAGCGAGACGACGAGGCGAATACGGAACATCAAGCTGGTCAGACAGATGTGATTGGGATGGAAGCCTGGTTACTGTTCGGCCGTAATTGGGCCTAAAAGAGTCCATCTAATTGGAGTGAGCCCTTAAGCCCGATTAAGTATGTCAGTAAATTGTAAAGAGTTATATATATATA